GGTCATTCCCAAAGTGCAAATTCACAAGGAAAGACCTGTCTCTTATACACATCTAGATGTGTATAAGAGACAGGTTCATCACAGTGCGGCATCATGTAGTCCTGATAGGGTCCTTTAGCACAAAAGGGACAACGAATATCTGGGTGATAGGGATGTGTACAATGAGGAAATGTTGGACACCCTTCGGTCCACACGGCGGTGGCTGCAGTAGATTGATAATGTTGATGGCATAGGTGATGAATTCCGCAGCCAAGACGCACTGCGTCCCTGTTCCGACAGGTGTCACATGAGAGTCGGTCAATAATCCAGAATAAAGTATGATTCGGCAATGCACACAGAAATTCATTTATGTTGAAAATAGCCTGAATCATTGTCCCACCATCCCACAGTTCCCACTGGGAAGCTGCACGAACGAGTGCCATATAATGCCTGGGTCTGTGCAAAACACAGGCAGAAATACGAGGATGGTCATTAAGGTCATCGCCTGGCGTCGCATGATGCATAAGAAGGTGGCGACCGTGGAATCCGAGCTGTAAGACATTTACAGTAAAGCCTCCTGAGGTAGTATAATTACTACCTTCAGGAGGTGGACCATTATGGTCATACAACAACTGATTTTCAACAGTGTCAAGCTGATAAGCAATCGTAACAAAATGGGAAGCAGTATAACATTGACGCTGATAAGCCTGTAGGCAGACATTTGTGGCTGTCAAGCCACAAGCATTTGGTATTCTGCCCGCAGATCCGATTTGGTCACCAGTGGAAAGCTAGGTCTGATCTGGCGGGGTCGGCGCATGAATGACGAACGCCGTCGACGTGGCAGAACAGGCTGTTGGTAAGACAAAGAACCCTGCAGATTAGCATCAACACGGCGTCGAGAGGAAGGGGGACTGGGCGGAGGAGAATGAACGAACCTGCTGAGGTCCCAATATGGCTGTGACAGACCTTTCTTTTTTCATGGGTGTTTTGCTGGCTTGTGATGGGGTGTGAACCGACAGTCTGTAGAGTTTTCCATCTGGTGTGGGGTGAGTGATAGTCAGCTTTGATTTTCGTCACAGGTACCTTGAGGGCAGTGGTTGTTGCCCATCTCAGGGTATTAGTTGTTGGGCAGTCGTTGATGCTTAACCACAACCGGGGTTAAGGTGGATTATCACTTACAGTCTGCTTCGTCGGAGTTTCACCGACTCATCAGGAGGCTGAACCCTCAACAGTCTGCGGAATCCCCTAACTGATTACACTGTAAGTGATAATCCACCTTAACCCCATATATATATATTGTCACATTGTGAATCAGAGCGCAAAAAAGGGGAAAGAAAAAAGGAAAAGGAAAAAAGGGGGAGGGGGAAGAGGTAAGGAAAGCTCCACCTGTTCATAACCTCTTACGTACAAGGCCAGCCACGTGGATGACAGGTTGAGCGCTGGCTGCCCCCATCCCCGTGTGTCACAAGGACCCACTTGCACGCGGCCAAAAG